TGTAACAAACAATTCAAAATGAATAAACAAATATTTTTGTCAGATTTCTCTTTTAATTCCTCTTCAATTGTTTATTTAATTATTTATATTTATTGAATTATAATAACTAGAAATTATCCAATAATTTTAACTTAGAAATGATGAATAATCAATAAACGTCCGGCGTTCCGAATAATCCAAAGCATTGCACAGTTAATCAAACTAACGTCCATATGCCTTTCCTTTTACTGATTAAACCAAATACTGCAAATTTTCAACCAGAAGCCTCAACTTCTAACCCAGAGGTTCAGGTTTTGAGAAACAAACTGAAATCAGGTGTCAAAGCAGTGTGACAGCTAATTAAGACACTGTGGATTCAAGTTCTTCTGAAAATACGCGTGCAAACCCTAATTCTTGATTTATTACCAAAGAAGCGTCTTCCTGATCAAACCATGAGTCCAAACTCAAACAAATTAACAAAAACCCTGATAATCTGTTTGACTGATTCAAAATCAATGAAAAACCCTAATTTTGTCTGACTGATGAGAAAAGTCTGTTTGACCGATTCTTAAACCAATCTGAAAAATCAGGAAAAGTCTGAAGCTGTGATTTCTTGTGAAAAAGAGAGAGGGCAAATTTTGGGGTACAACACAGCGGAATTCATATTTCAAAAACATCTTATTATAATACTTCATAAAACTGCATCATACTTTATGATTCATAATTAGAATTCAAAGAGATCGAGTACCATGAAAGGTAACCCAACATCTTAGAAACAAAACAAAACAAAGAACATAAGTTCGTAACTGATAACGACCCTATTCCCGATGTTACATATCAGAGCAAGACCCACTCTACTCCACGAGAAGCAAATAAACATACTCTGAAGCTATCCTCTAATGCCTCGACGGGCTATTCTAGATCATCTGCAAGTTACCCACGGATAGAGGCAACATTTCCAAGCAGAAAGGGTGAGTAAATCATAGTCATTATAAAAGACATAAGGAATAAATATAATAGACATGCACACAGGAAAGGCATCACACATCATCAGAACCTTATTTTATACTCACACCTTTACAACGTCATCAATACATAACAACATATCATCCAAACGCCATTTATCAACAAGCATCATTTAATCACATCATTATGCAATGTCACTTATAATGTAATGCAACATCATAGACTCATGCAGGTGGTACCAAAACTTCAGTGATGACTCAATCATCGTTATCTCCAAAGATCCCCACCAATAGGATCGATTTCCACTTAGAACTAGAGCACTTCACAATTTTGCACTCAATCCACAATATAGGATTGATATTTTCACTAGACTATTATCCTATCATCTTCACTAGACTAAAGTCCTATCAACATCCCTGGACCAAATTCCTAAACTATGCCATAAATTCATGATGCACAACAACATAATAAATACGACCATGGCTAGTCAAAATGCATCATCATTTAACGATTCGTCACAAAAATATCATTATGAAAATTATCATCCTATCATCATGATAAAAAAAGCATCATCATAACATCATAATATCGTCATAATAAATAAAGCATCATCATAATATCACCATATCATCATGATAAACAAAGCATCATCATAACATCATCATATCATCACAATAAACAAAACATTATCATAGTCTAACACGGGGAACCTAACTTCATCCTAGCTTAGGTATTGATTAAATACTTCGTATTTCTCATTTTATTCCATCCAACTAAATTTCATTGCGTTAGCTGTCCAACGCTTCAAACGACACCTCAAACTGAGTTCTAAAACTCAAGTTACAGCTCTTTGAAAAATCCTACTTCCATCCATCACAAGCAGCTCACCCGATGACTTGGAAGCGGTAGCACACAATCTCCATTCTGGACACCATCTCCCAGAGACACCACCTCCATCGTCCAGAGACACGCCTTTGCATTTGCTTTTCCCGGCGACAGTGCGAGCGACGCACTCCATTAACATTCCTCTTCTCTTCCCTTTATCGCTTAGCGTTTTTCCTGGCGACAACCATGCGACACCACCATCTCCCAACGACATATCCCATCGCCCTACGATTCTGCGCAAATAGGGTTTTTTTGTTGCGATTTCCTACATAAAAACCAGTCCCAATCTTGTGATTTTGCACCAAAACAGCCCCAATCCTCATAAATTTTGACACATAATCATCATATAATAACCATACAACATCATAGGCATTATATACACAAACTCATGGCAATTCAATAAGGTATCTTCACCAATCCCAATACAAATTCATCAATTGCAACACAATCATCAAATCACCAAAACCTAACACATCCTACATTTATTTATACCTTAGATCGATTATAATAACAATAGTAAACATCCCTTACCTTAGATTTTAGCAGTAAACTAAATCTCTCTTGGTGTTTTATCACAAGAATCCTCCTGTCTCTCTTTGCCCTAGCTTTGCCTCTGCCTCTTCTCCCAAAACTATCGTACAGAATAAGCACTTCTAAAATCCCAATTCTCTTTTGTCTCACTTAACCCTTGGACCCTTAATTTGTCTTTCACTATTGTCCTCACTTATTCTTCCCAAATGACTACCATGTCCTCATAGTTTCTACCTCACATTTTATTTCTAATTATCTAATTAAAATAATTCTAACTAATTATTCTAATTATTCTAAATTACTAAAAATCATCTTAATCTTAATTCCCACTACACCACACATATCATCATTTTAAACATCATATTCATCTTGACATCATAGTATACTTCATATTCATCGAAACATCACAAATCATTACGAGGACTCATATAAAAATACCAAAACATCATATACATCAAATACTTCACAAAATAAATAAAATAATCTAGAATTTTCATGCTAAATTAATAAAATAAATAATTAATCTAGAATTTTGGGTGTTACAAAATACGCTTCCAAGCCGAAATCATATTCAAGAAGAAGCTTTGTCTTTCTTTCACCATTAGAAACTTCATAATCGTTGAAACCATACTCAAACACATGAAACATACTGATATTCAATGTAATGAGACCCTTTTTATTTCTCCGTTTCAACAATATGATCTAGTGAAAGCCATTGAACTATTTCACTCAATGAACCAATTCAAGTGTGTAAGGACATTGCAGTCATTCAACGCGCTTATTAATTTTCCCCTTGATCATTGTATGTTTCCTGAGGCTAATTATGCTTCTGATTGATCCTATGAAATGAGTTTTCATCCAAATATTGTCACGTTTAATATTATGATAGAGGGTTGGTTGGTGAAATATGAATGGGAAAAAGCATATGTAACACCCACATATAATATAGTTTAAAAATACATTATATATATTGTAAATTGGTATTGATATAAGAGTCTATCGAAATTCATTATATATACATGTCCAAATAAAATATACTACTATGGCGCATGATATACAAGAGTGCCTAATCAAAATTAAGATCTATGTACAATGTTCATATTTGCACATAGTCCACAACAAAAGATCATGGTAACAAAAGTCTTCGAAACATCACCAAACAAGCTTCCCATTTCCTTTAACCGGTAAAGAACTACATGAAAAACAACAATAATAGTGGAGTGAGATAATAAGTGGGTTCCCTTATCTTATTGGTCCCACCAACCCTAAAGAGATCTCTTATCGATTTTTAACTTAAGTTTTTCATCTCACGTTACTTGTGTATCACTCACACAATGTAACAAGGACTTAAGCGTTCAACAGGTTTTATGCTTCGTATGGAAACATACACCATAAGTTCATATAACTCAATGAATCACTATTCAAGAATGCATACTATAACACAAGGGTGATTAGCCCAAAACCAATCACAAAGATCTACTAAATCATTCGTCAAATATGGTCAATAGGATACCAGACCTCCACTGCACAGACACACTGGCCACCCAATATAGCCAACGACAATACCCATCCTCCACTATGTAGAATACACTATCTACTGAATATGGCCACCGATACTCTTAGTCTCACTGTGTGGTAATAGTCAATCCATTAGATATGGCCAACGATAGTGTTAGCCTCCACTGAATAGGTTACACAATCCATCATATATGGCCAACGGCGCTCCTAGCCTCCATTAATTGAATTTAAATAAAGCTCTTTCCACTATATATGACTAATGGTAGTCCTAGCCTCCATTGAATGGATTACACAATCCATCAGATATTGCCAATGACACTCCTAGCCTCCACTGAATGGAATACGCTTTACACAGTTATAGTCATTTGTCTCAACGAGAAAAGAAAGAGAAAACGGTTATAACAGACTTTTATTGAAAAAACTCAATTGATGCATTATCAAAAACTAATTACAAAATTATTTAAATATACAAACTTCAAATGTCACGTAAGCAAAATTAACTATTCTCATAAAACTCAGAAACTGAATTAAAGTTCTAAGCATATAATTTATCAACTATGTTGAGTAAAATTCTGAAGCATATAACTTTTTAACAACACAATTGTGATCATAAAAATTATTTCTAACAATCCCTAACAATTTCAACAAAAAAAATTTGGTTGTAGAAAAATCTATAATACCAAACTAATTTCCCTTATCCCTTTTATTAAATAACTAATTACATTATCATGATGTGTGTATATAAATACAAATTGGAAAAATATAAAAATACAAGGAAAAAAGAGAAACTCTTTATTGTCAAATTTTTGAATGGAGATTCTCATTAGTCCGTAAATCCTAAATTCACTCTCAAATAAATCCAGTCCATTGAAGAAAAAAAATCAAATGATTGGCAATTGAAATAAAATTTTGAGATTTGAATTTTTCAAAATTTGTTTTTTCAAGATACATCTCAACAAGACATTACACGTGCTCTTATATTTGATAATTTACTTCATCCTAGCTAACTTTAACAAAAATAAAAGAACTTATGACATATCCTCACACATTATCCAAAAGCCTTTGTTTGTAAAGTAATTAAACATAAGCTCTAGAAATAAATCATTTTTTGTTATAGTGAGTCATGGCTTTTCATTGTGAATAGGTGGTTTCCGATGTGGTTGTGCATAATCCATCTCAACTATGTCTTCTGCATTCTCATTGGTGTTTGTCACCATTGTTTCTTCAACATGGTGTCTAGCTGGTCCCATCATTGACCTTGCATGTCCCCTCTCATTCTACACAAATAAGCATACCTCTCAAATAACATTTCTCAAGCAACAAACACGGATGTATATGGAAATTCTTCTAAAATAAAAAGTGTTTCTTATATTACCTCTGCTACAAGAAGAGATGGCGAACCTGTTTGGCAAGATGGCACTGCAATAGAATATGACCACCATCATTTACAAATATAATTACAGTAAATAGAAATTATTGGATGCATTCTAAAATCCAAATAATTTTCACACATTCAGCTACGAAAATTCATAGCAAAAATGACATACAACCAAGTGCAACATATATTATGAACTCACAAAAGCAAGAGACTAATAATTATTATTAGCTATAGTCATGTTGTAATATAAATATAAAGTTGTGTCATTAATCAAATTTATTATTTTATTATTATATTAATTATTTATTTTATTTTTAATTTATTAATCACTTTTACTATTTCATTAACTAATAAAATAAATAATATTAATCATTTTCAAACATTAAATTAAAAAATATATTAATTAATCTTTACCTTTTATTAATCAATTTTATTTTAGTATTTAAGATTATTTATATATTTGAGAATCTATTAATCAAATAATAAATTGTATTAATCAATTTTATATATATCATTAATCAAAATTAATTTACCACTTAAAATTTTATTTTTGATATTATGATATTTAATAACTAAATTTTAAACTATATTAACCAATTTATTACCATTAATAATCAACTTTATTTTTCCACTTAATACTATTTTTTAAATATCAAAACACATTAACGAGATTATATATTGTACTACCTATGTTTTTATACATTGATTAATTAAAATTGATTTGAAGAGAGAGAAAAAAAATGTAAGAATGTTAAATTATGAATGACGTAATTCACCATATATGTGAAGAATCACATACAATATAAATGTAAAAATAGATTTTTTTTTAATTATTATTCATAAACATCAAATTTTATAGGCAAAGAAAACAAAAGCAAGAGACAATAATTATTATTTATAAAAAAAAAAAAATTATGGGTGTACATTGATCTCAATTATTTAATATCTCGTTTACATATCCAAAAAAAAAAGATTAATCGTTTTTATTTGTATATGTAAAGTGAATGTATTAGGTTGTCAATTCGTATGAATTAATCACTATGTAATACACATAAAACCAAAAAAAAAAGAGTATTAGAAAATTAAGCACCTACGATCACTTTCTTCAAAGTTGATGCACTGCTACCACCCGCAAAGATATTTATTTCATTATTTACGATTTTCTGTTGCTGTGCTGGATCTACCTTATCAAAATGATGTTTTGTTGTGTCTTTTTTAGTAAGATGGCGAGGGGTGTATGCATGCAAAGAACCACATAGGATAAGTAGGAGAAGAAGGGGAAGAGAAGCCATGTTGAGATAAAGGTTTTTATGAGCTTTTTCTAGGGTAAGGTTGGTTTCACTTATATGTAATTGTAGAATAGAAGGTGCATTGTTTTGGAAAAACAGAGAAAAGAATAGAAGGTGCATTAAATGTAGGTTTTGTATGGGATAGAGGGTGCTCTTTAATAGAACATGCAGGTGTTTGAGAGTTGAAACTTAGAAACAAAACTGAGGATATCTAGGGTCCACATTTGTCCCCCCAACCCCATTTGAAGATCATTTTTAAACACTAGCTAGGGACTGCCTCATTGGCTACATCTACCATTAGGGCTACTACTATAACGGAAATAAATGCTAGTGAATTTTGATTTTAGGCAATTTAGCAAAAGAGGTTGATTAACATGATAGAAATCTATGCTTAGTCTTAGGAATGATTCATTGTGTGTCCCTAAATAGCTTCTCTCATGTCTAGTTTTCTTAACAAAGGTTTTTAATTTTGCATTGATTTAAATCGGTACATTTTTTTAAGGAAATTTCTAAGCTCACTCTACAACGTGAAAAAGAATTTCATAAAAAATCAAAATATCTTTCAATTTTCAAAAATATATTTTCGAACGTGTTATTTATATCACACACCAATGAGTAAAATCAGTTTTACCTTATTGTCAAACAAAATTTTATTATGGAGATACATCTTTGTTGAATAATATTTAATGTATTTTTTGTTACACATTTCAGTGAGTTATATTGATGTATTTTCGAACATTTAAAGCGAGAATTTGCTAATATGTCACATTTGCATGTCAGATTATTTCGGAAATGTATCTCCGAAAAAATCAAATATGTTATTACTAAAAACAACCACATGCATGATCAGACCTCGTATACATTTTTTCCATTAACTCTTTCCAAAAATCATTCCATTCTCAATTAAGATTTTCACTCCAAAACTTCATTCTTGTGTTTCATCAAATCAAAAGGAGAAAAAGAAGTTGGAATTCAAGATAAAAGTTTGTTTATTTCGAATCTCATTGCTCACGTTAATCATGTTTTGAAGCTGAAAAAAGTTATGTTGTATCCGGAAATGTATCTTTGAATTCTCTATGAATTTATCTGGAGATACATTCCCAAAATGTCTTTGTTATTATTTTTCAGCAATCTGTTTTCAGTTTTAGATGTTTCTGAATATTTTATGTTTTTTTTTCTCATTAGAATGGTGCATCCCGATGTTTTCTCCAAACATATTGTATCTCTGGATGTCTCACGTGTAGTTGTGAAGGAGGTAAATGTTGGCAACCAGTTTAAAAAGGAACAAGAGTTTGAATTCTGTGATCACATGCTTCAATGGATTAGAATAGAGACATTCAAACAGGGATTTGGTGTTGTAATTGGAAGGTCGAATAATAGTTCAGATAGAAGATGTGCATTTGTGATATTGACATCCGAAATAAGTGGAAAATATAGACCTCTTGTCCGAAATTTCAAACAAGATGAAACTGATTCAAGAAAATGTGAGTGTTCCTTTAAGTTGTGTGGTTATCGGTTAGCAAATAACAAATGGAGATTTAATATGACATGTTGTTTACATAACAATGATTTGTGTTAAAAGTTAGTTGGTTATTCAATTGCATGTCGCCTCATACCGAATAGAAGGAATGTGTTTCATACATGACATTGAATTTGGTGCAACGAAAAACATACTTGCAACCTTAAAGTATAAAAGACTCGGGAATATCGTAAATATCAGGCAAGTGCACAATATATGCTATCAAACTAACAAAGGGCTGAGGGGGATAAAACTGAAATGAAGCAACTCTTGAAACTTCTAGATGATAACAATTATGTATCTAGGTATCGAACGTGCGAGGATGGAGTCATTGTTAGCGATATATTTTGGGCTCATCCTGACTCTATAAAATTGTTTAACATGTTTTCCACTAGGCTTATAATTGATCCAACGTATAAGACCAACAAGTACGGGCTTCTATTATTGGAAATGTTGGTGTTACCTCTGCTGAGAAGACTTATTTTGTCGGGTTTGCATTTCTAGAGTGCGAAAAATAGGAGAAATTTACTTGGGCTTTAGAGGTATGTTGGGTAATGCTGAAGAATCAAGAAAAAATGTCAAAAATAATTGTTATCGGTCGTGATATCGCTTTGATGAATTCGGTTGCAAAGATATTTCTCACTTCTTATGCATTACTTTATAGATATCACATAACAAAGAAGATTTTTTTTACCACAATGCCACACTTTTGAAGGTTTTATCCCAATCTGTGACCTTTTGAAAAAAGATTGCCAGAATACCACAGTTTATTCAAGGGTTCGTCCATGGGTTTGACGAATCGATTTCCCAATTTTCTGCATACATGGGTTCGTCTATTGATTGGACGGCCCAGTGATGAGAGTGATTTTTTTTAATTTTTTATTATTTAATTATTTTAATTAATATATTAATTAATATAATATAGTTTAAATATGTTTTTAAAGTTAAAAATTATTAATATCATTTTAAAAATTATTTATTTAATATTTTAATATAATAAAATATTTTAATTAATATTTTAAATTTAAAAAAATAATCAATATCTCCTTCTATAAATATTAATGTGTGCTTATTTGGTATTCACATCATTTACCACTCATTTATTCATTTCCCTTTTAAAGACTACATCCAATATTTCTAAATCAAAATCAATATAAATGATTGGATTTTTGTACATAAATTAAAGAATACAATAATATTATTATAAAATATTATATTTTTATTAAATTACCATAAATAATATTGTTTACTTATTTGATACTCAAATCACTTAACATTAATCTATTCGTTATATAATTAATTATATTTTTAAAAAACTTAACAAAGAAAAATTTTAATATTTTATTTAAACAAAATAATAATAAATATATTTTAATTAAATCATTTGAATGATTAGGATTTAAAATATTTTTAAAGTTTTCGACTATCTAGTCTAAACGGGCAAATAAAAACAGAAAGAGACACCATAAGAGAAGCATGTTAATCAACACGCCCATTTCAACATTTCCCTCACGGAAAAAATGGCAAACTTTCAATTCCCAATCTATTCAACTATAATATTATTCAATCATTTAAATCATTCTCATAATTTATAAAACTAAAAGCTAAAGATAGTTTGTTAGTTTTTAAAATTTTAAAGAAAAAAAAATTATATTAACAGTATAAAATAATTTTAAATCATCAACTAATTTCCATTTTATATTCAATCGAATTACATTGATATTTTTTAATTAATTATATGACATATTTAAATAATAAATATTTATTGAATGATAATTTAAAATTATTTTAATCAATGTACTATCTTTAATCTCAATTTTTAAATAGATAATAGTATTTTAAAAAAATTTAATAAAATTAAAATATCAAATTAATTTGTTATTTTCGAATTTTAAAAATTAAAAAAAAAATTAAATAAGTTAAATAGACAACATCTTTTTATTATTTTAGACAACATGTATGGATAAAAAACCTATAAAAAATAGATGAGCGTTAACTGATGTGAATACCAAAAACTTTTTGTATTAAATATTTAAAATTTATTATTTATTTAAATACAATTAATTATATAAAAAGTAGATGAATTAAGTGATTTGAATATCAAATAAGTACCATGTTATTTATAGTAATTTAATAAAGAATATAATATTTTATAATAATATTATTATATTCTTTAATCAGTGTACAAAAATTTAAATCATTTCTTTTGATTTTGATATGAAAATATTGGATATTAGGAGTGTTCGCGGTGCGGTTTGGGCGGTTTTGAAGCAAAAAATCATCCGAACCGCAAGAGAAAAAATATGCGGTTCGGTTTGGTTCGGTTGACTTTTAAAAATAAATCCGAACCAAACCAAACCAAACTAATGCGGTTTAGATTGGTTCGGTTGTTTCGGTTTTTTACAAAAATAATTATTATGTCATACATACAAATATATAGGAAAATATAATTTTATATTTAATTGTTCATACATTACCATAAAAAATTTATAATTGTCAAAATAAATTTATAATTTGATACATAAAATTGCGTATTATAATTTTATCTAAATCTAAATAATGATATCAACAAGATTGCATTCTTAAATAAATATTATACAAAGAATATGATAAAATATATTTTGTGAAAATAGTATTTATAAATGAATAATATTTTATTTTTTATGATTTGTAAATTAAAATGAATATAATACAAAGTATGATAAAATATACACATAATACATGTTGATTTCTCTAAAGAATTATAGAAATATATATTGGTTAGTAAGATTTTATAACATAACGCGATTTTGTTTGGTTTGTAAAATACAAACCGCAAACCGAACCGAACCATGCGGTTCCACGAGAAAATGACCCAAACACATCCGAACCAAATACGGTTTTTTGCGGTTTCGATTTGGTTCGGTTCGGTTTTGCGGTTTTCTATTGGGCCGATTTGGTTTTGAACACCCCTATTGGATATAGTCTTTAAAATTGAAATGAATAAATGGGTGATAAATAATGTGAATACCAAATAATCACACACTATTATTTATAGAAAACAAAAAAATTAATAAAATATTCTGCTCACCCATTAGAGGGATGAAAGGTATAAAATTAAAATATTAATTAAAATATTAATTAAAATATTAATTAAATAAAATTTAAAATGATATTAATAATTTTTTAACTTTAAAAATATATTTAAACTATATTATATTAATTAACATATTAATTAAAATAATTAAATAATAAAAAAAGAAAAAAAATTACTCTCTTCACAGGGTCGTCCAACCAATGGACGAACCCATGCATGCAGAAAATTGGGAAACCAGTTCGTCCAACCATGGACGAACCCTTGAAGAAACTGTGGCATTCTGGTAATTTTTTTCAAAAGGTGACGGTTAGGTACAAAACTTTCAGAAGTGTGGCAGGGTGGTAAAAAAATCAACAAAGAATGTGAGAAATCAGGTTAAACTCGTGATAGAAACAAAGTAGATAGAGG